AAGAAGAAGAATGCTACTCTGGTATTTGTTGTTTTAAGGGAAAAGGATATTATTAAGGCAACTCTTTCAGAAGTTTTTCTTTTCTTTTGTTTTTAAGTAGGCTCCATGCCCAGCATGGACCCCAATGTGGGGCTTGAACTCACGACCGTGAGATCAAGACCTGAACTGAGATCAAGAACCAGACACTTAACCAGCAGAGCTGCCCAGGCACACTCCTCTTTCAGACGTTTTTTATGCCAGTAAACAGGAAAATTCACAAATCCTGACAGTCACCACTTCTTTGGAGCTGGGAAAATATTGTCCTCTACTTACGCACTATAAAGTCAGATTCCCAAGAGCCATTTTTGGGCACCATCTGGCTTTTAGAACATTCCCAAATCTGGAAGTGGTTAGCAAAGAGGTAGCCCTGGGCACCCAGCAATAATAAATAGGCTGATACTCATCTTGACTGTTTTTTGATCAAACACTGATATTTTGCTTAACGCCGCCCCCCCCCCCGTCCCCTCTCCTTTTCTCTTTGTCTGTCTCTTGACCAGGGTTGAAAATACTGGATTAAGAGTCTGTATTTGGTAAAGAAAAGCTTTAGTGTTTCATATAAGCATGAGTTTACAAAGCTATATACAGTCTGGTGGAAAAAAACAGCAAATCATAATATTGTTGAGTTCAACAGATAATTTCAAAAAACAGATTCTGAGTCCTCTCATGAAGCATTTGTAATGTATTTTGACAGTGCTGACCAACGTTTACACCTAAGTAAGAGCTACCTTTTATCGCTCTACTGCCATAGAGAGAACACGGGCTTTGGAGTCAGTCAGATCTAAGTTCTGATCAACATTTCAACTAGGTCCGACTGTCTTCTGCCCCATTTCTCCACTTGTAAACTGGGAAGGACTGTGAAGCCTGAGTAAGAGCACCTGGCAGAGTGCTGGGACACTCTGAGGCAGTTAGGTGCCGATTTCCAACCTTCTCTTTATGTACAATTTTGAAGTTCAGTCACTTTCCCTAGAGCGGATCTCAAGGGGCAGGGGTCATTTTTGGTTGTGACAACAGGGGCATCTAGTGGCCTCTAGTGGATGAGGGATGCTGTTGAACATTATACACGGCACAGGGCAGCCCCCCACGACACAGTATTATCCGGCCCCAAGTGTCGGTGGTGCTGAGGTAGAGAAACCCTGCCACCGAGGGATGCACAACATCAGAGACTCTGCCAAGTGTGCGTGATACAGCTCTGGATGAGGAAATGGGAGATCTGGGGAAGTTGGGTGATCTGTCTAAAAACCATAGTATACTTGGGGAGGGTGCTGAGGGAGGCACAGTTTGGACCCCTGGACGTGAAACCAAATCCGTTTTTACCCCAAAAGGTGCTCTTTCCACTCTATCATAGTGCCACCTCTCCTTAAGTAGAATAAGAACTGTTAAGGGACCTGCACCATGTGACAATTCTGAGAAAATAAAACCACCAGAGAGTGGAACAGCTAATTATTCTAAAGCTTTCAAATATGTCACACATGCTCATATTATTTACAAAACACATGCAAATACAGACTCAGAAATAACGAATTTTGACTGGTTGTCTTTTAAGAAGTAGCCAAGGCTAGCGAAGCTGGACCTCCTGAGAGAAAACCATAGCACATTTGCCAGAGCTAGCCTCAGAGGCATGGGGGATGCTTTCCCATCACCCTAGCCCCTGCAAGAGCTTCACCATGGCCAAACTCCTCCGTTCTTTGGGAAAGTGAATCTATCTCTCCAAATATCATTAAATCAGGACTCAATCTCTCCAGAAAAGTATGACGTGGTTGTTTTGTGCTGATTACATATAGATAGTGAGATACTCCCGCACAGCAAATATCACAGGCAAGACAACATTCTGGGTACAAGTTGACAAGTGGTAATGTCAAAAAAGAAATATTGAACACTGCTGATAAAAGCGAGTCATTGGCAACGCTGAAGTTTACTTTTTGGTCTTTCTAAAAGTAACTCTCATAGCTATTTTTAAAGAGCCATATTGTGCTTTTTCAAAGATAATAAAAATCAAGTAAATATTAGGGATTTTACCCATGAGAGTTAATCATTGCTCAGACTTAATCAATGTTCATGATGAACTAGACTCGAGAAGTCCATTAATGATTACTAAAGTCAGTAAGTATTTTTATTTTATTTTTCTTTTTTCAAGTTTTTATTTAAATTCCAGTTGGTTAACAGAGTGCAATATTGGTTTCAGGAGAATTTAGTGATTCATCACTTACATAAAACACCCAGTGCTCATCAGAACAAGTGCCCTCCTTAATGCTCATCCCCCATCTAGCCCATCCCCCGCCCACCTCCCCTCCAGCAACCCCGTTTGTTTCCTACAGTTAACTATTTGCTGGTTTGTGTCTTTTTCTTATGTTCATCTATTTCGTTTCTTAAATTCCACCTTATGAATGAAATCATATGGTATTTGTCTTTCTCTGACTTATTTCACTTACGATAATACCCTCTAGCTCCATACACATTGTTGCTAACGGCAAGATTTCTTTTTTTTTTTTTTGGTAGTTGAGTAATATTCCATTATATATACCACATCTTCTTTATTCATTCATCAGTCGATGGGCACTTGGGGTCTTTCCATAGTTTCGCTATTGTTGATAATGCTGCTTTAAATATCAGGATGCACTTATCTCTTCAAATCAGTATTTTTGAATTTTTTGGGTAAATAGCTAATAGTGTGATTGCTGGATCACAGGGTAGTCCTATTTTTAACTCTGAGGAACTTCCATGCTATTTCCAGAGTGGCTACACTAGTTTGCATTCCCACCAACAGTGCAAGAGGTCTCCCTTCTCCACATCCTCACCAACACCTGTTTCCTGTATTGTTAATTTTAGCTATTCTGACAGGTGTGAGGTAGTAATTCATTGTAGTTTTGATTTATACTTCCCTGATGTTGAGCATCTTTTCATGTGTCTGTTAGCCATCTGTAAGTCTTCTTTGGGAAAATGTTCATGTCTTCTGCTCCTTTTTTAACTGGACTATTTAAGTGTTCAGTTTTTTAAGTTCTTTATATATTTTGGATACTAACCCCTCATCAGAGAGGTCATTTGCAAATATCTTCTCCCATTCCAAAGGTTGCCTTTTAGTTTTTCCTCCTATACTGTGCAGAAACTTTTTATCTTGATGAAGTCCCAATAGTTTATTTTCGCTTTTGTTTTTCTTGCCTCACACCTATCTAGCAAGAAGTTGCTATGGCCAGTGTCAGGTTACTGCCTATGTTCTCTAGTGAGTAGACATCTCTAAAAATAATTGTCATTAAGTAACACCTTGAGTGAAAATTAAATATAAAAAATCAATGCTCTCTTAGAGAACTTACCCAAACTAGTCCATGTCCTGAGGATTCTAGGTGATTACTAAATATATATATACTAAATATATATATATATAAATTGTGTAAGCCTATATTAGATCATAAAGTAGTCAATGTTGACAATGTGTTTTTTCCCCACATTCAAAAATGCAGTCCTGAGGTCTGCAAACTATAGCCAGTTGAGCCATTTTATTTTTTTTAAAGATTTATTTGAGAGAGAGAATGAGACAGAGAGCATGGGGAGGGGGGCTCAGAGAGAGAAGCAGACCCCCTGCTGAGCAGGGAGCCTGATGCGGGACTTGATCCCAGGACTCCAGGATCATAACCTGAGCAGACGCTTAACCATGTGAACCACCCAGGTGCCCCAGTTGAGCCATTTTAAAAAATACCTCATCTTTACAGAAAAGTGATACTACAGATAATTTCTAACCTTTAATGACAAAAACAGACTTAGACCAGACTGATAGTTCTTCTATCATTATCACCAGGTACTATTTTGGGGTAGAAGAAAAAAAGTTTTCCCATTCATATTTTTAAAAATCTTTCATTTTTTATGAGCTTCCCAATTGTACACAGAACATTAACCTATCTTCACTTCTCAATGGGGGACCATATACCCAATGAGTATATATTAACATGCATTAAGAGAACATAAGAAAAAACACAGAAGAGACAGACTCTAAATGGTTAAAAAAAAAAAAATGAAATTACAAAGTGGGAAAATGTTTGAATGTTGGCAAATGATTAAGATTCTTAATAACATTTTATAAAAAAAAAAATCAACATTCAAACATTACAAATAAGAATAAAGTATTTAGGAAATAGGAACAGGCAAACAAACTTACAATGTTGAGGTGCACACCACACACACAAAGACAGGTTACTTAGTGCTTAGTAGCTGTTTGGGGTGTGGGCTTTAAAATTCAAGTGACTGGGATGCCCAGGATGTTTTGAGGACTAAACTCTGAAATACCTGGTATAGTAGCTAAATAGTAGATATTATAATAGACTGGCCACAGATAAAACATGAATTCTGCCCCTTGGTGAGGGAAAACTGGTCCTCATTAAAGGAACATAAAACTGTGGCCCCTTAGAGGGTAGTGTGGTTACTTGTTATCCCACACACGCCCAGCACACTCCCAACACACCCCCAACATTTCTTGGCCTTAGAAAATAAGCAGATAGACAGGATTCATTGCAGCATTAGATAGCAAAACCCAGAGAAACCTCTCTCCACCGACACTGGGACTGGTTAAAATATTTTGTTGTATGTCTTCATATTGGAACTCAGGAGAGCAGTGCAGTTACAATACCTGACTAAATTTACATCTTCGCTTGGTTATGGAATTTTAAAAAACAGCCTACACAACAGTATAACACGCATACCTGTCCCAACACACCCCCATCACTAGGAGGACAAGGCTTGAAGGATATGCAACAAGTTAATGCTTTTTTTCCCCGGTGTTGGAGTTATATTCAATGCTCTATTAAAAAAAAGTTCAATGTAATAAATACATGCCACTCTTCTATCAGGAGAAAGCATACGTAAGGAGGAGCAAAAAAGGAAAATTGGATTTTCATACAAAGTAACTTCATTTTTGCTACCATTTATATAACCTTCTCCCTCCCAATCCCATTTTTGAGTTAATGACAAAACCGTTTAGAAATGACACCATAAGATGAACTTTATTTTAAAGCTCATAAAAGGCTTCACAATATCAGTTACAAACAGAATCAACATTTCTTCCAATTTACACCTTCACATGACAATGTACTGTATGACAGGAGATACAGTTGAAAGTTTTTGTTCTGCATGCTGCTAACACATTTCACTAGCTTTTGCTTTACTCGTTGATTTTTAATATCAAAGCAAAAAGTCATATTCTATTGGACAGAATTAATATTAGAAAGCCCTTATGAAATCAGACTTAGTCTTGTTTATAAACAGCCACACCCACACACATGCTGAAATGGAGAGCAAAATGCAAGAAAACTACCTTGGCAGGAGCAAATGCTTCAAGATTTTAATCACAGCCCTCTTGAACAAGCAGTACAGTTTGTTTTCTTTTCTCCAAAAGACAAAAGTCAGTTTCATCCTCAGTGATGCAAATGGTAATACTGCACAGAAGCTTAGTATGAATTCACAATTCCACAGGAATCTGAAAGTTACCAAGGCAATTTTCCCTTTTAGGATCATAAAGACTACAGACTTAAGCTTTTTTCTCTTTCCATATAATACACAAAATTTCTAAACATCCTTAAAAAAGAAAATATAAATAGTCTCAGTATGTTATGTAGAATCACATACTATGGCAAAAATATTTTATTCATTGAAGGACTACGCCAATGTAATGTTATCTAGTCCAAGTCCATATTAATGGAACTCTTCTCGTTTGGGTAACATTCTCCATTCTGATGTGGAGGCTCAGCACCAAAATTTTCTTTGCCTTCTAAATCTTCTTCCTTTTTATCAATATTTGGGCCATTTGGAGTTCTTTCCAGCTTGGGTGATTCAATTTTTGGCTTGGGTTGTGTTACGACGGGTTCACAAGTGTTATTCAACTCCTAAGCAAGGGAAACAAAACTGGTAATCAGGTTAACTCTGATCCACCCAGTCATTTTCAATTACTTTCCTAACACACCACCTGAACTGTTTAGTTTTCTGTCAACTCCAATTACACATATCTCGAGGAATTCAATTTCCTCACTACATTTGCCCAAAACTATGACTTGAAGCCTAATCAAAAAAGAGCAGTGAATATTCTTCTATGATGAGTCAGGAACTTGCAAAGTCCTCACATCTTATTATCTCATTTAATCCTCACAATATTAAAGGTAGAAATTATGATCCCCACCTAGGAAAGAGGAAAGATGGTTCAGAGAGGATGGTTAACTAAACCTCAAGATCAGGAAAACTAGTGAGCAAAGAACTGGGATTCAAGATTATAGCCCCCTGACTTCAAAGGCTCACAATTCTCGGGCACCTGGGTGACGCGGTTGGTTGAGCTTCCAGTTCTTGCCTTCTTTGGCTCAGGTCACGATCTCAGGGTCCTGGGACTGACCCCCACATCGGACTCCGCACCTTGGAGTCTGCTTGGGATGCTCTCTCCCCCTCTTCTTCTGCCCCTCCCCCCCCACATGCTCTCTCTCCAAAATAAATAAATAAAATCTTAAAAAAAAAAAAAAAAAAGCTCACGCTTCTTTAACCTTCATTTTGTTTCAACATTCTTCCAGATGGAAAACATTCTTTGGTTTTCGTCTCAACTTTCTTCAAAGCCTCACACACTCAGCAAGGCCTTCCTTGATCAAATACCAATCTGGGTCCTTCTCCAGTGCCCAGAATCCCCTAATCCTTTTGACTACTTTATTTTTGCCCGCAGCACCTGACCCCATCTGATACACTTCCTCTCCTCGTTTGCTGTCAAGCCTTCCTCGAACCAGCAGGTGACTACCACAGGGGCAGTGACTTTGTACACTCAGAGTTTAACCTGAGAACAATGGCTGCCACGTGGTAGGGACTCAACAAATGTATTTGTTGAACTGAATGAATAACGAAGAAATGGAAATTTAAGAGAAACATATAAGGTCTTCTGTATTTTGTAGTATCAATAATGAACTAAGAAATCTGGCCTCAATCAGGATGAGGTGGAAGATTGATCAAAGAAAGAGCTATGTTTAAGGTTCACAGGATTGCAACTTGAGTCCCTAAGAAAACACAGCAGCAAACATCAGACAATAATACTTACCTTTATTTTTGCTTTAATTTCCTGAGCACGTACAACTGGATCTTGATCAAGACTCTTTTTAGCCTGAGCATTCATGATATTATTCATCCACTCCATCACTTCATTAACAGACTTCTCAACCTTTTTCATCTCAGACTCATCAATATGATTATATTTCTCATCCTGAATGGAAAAAGGCATGGTCATTCTATAGACTTAAGTAAGTGTTTAACAGTGGGGAGCCTGGGTGGCTCAGTCGTTAATCATCTGCATTTGGCTTAGGTCATGATCTCAGGGTCCTGGGATCGAGCCCCGCATCGGGTTCCCTGCTCAGTGGGGAACCTGCTTCTCCCTTTCGCGCTGCCCTACCCCCGCTCATGCTCGCTCTCAAATAGTCTTTAAAAAAAAAAAAAAAAAAAAAGTATTTAACAGTAACCTCTAACCTGCCCGAATTTTCCATGAAGTTCAAATCTATCTGTGGTCTCAAATACCAAAAACAAATTTCTCATTTAAGAAGATGTGTTCACAGTGAAGGTTCCTCAACTTAGTATCAGCTTATTAAAATCTAGGGTAACTTCCTCGCAACACACAAACAGACTTACGTTATTTCTGAAGTCTGCAGCTATCTTGGCATAGTGCTGCAGTCCCTGTCCCAGTTCTTCAAACATTTTTGGTCGTTCCTCAGCTTCTTGAAACCGAACTTTAACTGGAGTGCCAATTTTCTAAAACAAGATATAATAAATTAACATTTGTCTTAACTGCATTTCGAAAGTTTGTAGTCTAAAACACATGTACCACTTTCTAGGAGGAGAGAAGGACCTACCATTAATTCTTCCAACTTGTCAACATATGCTTGTTTAGCTTGGTCCTCTCCTTCTTCATAGAGCCAGTTTTCGGTCTCTGTGAGCAGTCTCAAAAAATTTTGGTGATCCTATATATGAAACATGAGAAACTGTATCAGGGGCAATTTTACTTTAAAAGTTTTCACAACAAAACAGAGTCATCCTCAGAAGTGTTAAACACTAAGTCACCAATCTTATTTCTAGGAAGGCACTCTGATTAGCTGGATTCTCTTTACTGTAAAGTATCAAGGAACAATGAACACTAGTAGATTTTATATGAGAGATGAACAGTAATTCTTTGGCTTCTCTTTTACATGTGGACACGTGAGAAGTTTTGGTAAACTGCTTACTGCCGTAACAATAATGTATCTCAGAAGTCCAGTTTTGAACAATCTATACACTGAAATGGGGTTATGGAAGAGCAATTATCTTCCCACTCTCCAAAGCAATTAGGTCTTGATGAAGTAACTTCCTATTCACTCCCACAACTATCAAAGGGAAATAGACAAGTTGACAATTCAATCACTGAACCTGAAAAAAAGCCATTCTGAACCAATTCCCATAATGTATTTCTACTCTAGCCTTAGGAGGTCTACCCTCCTTAGGTCATCTCTCCTTCAGAATCCCAACCATAAGAAATCCAGGACATGTCAGGGCAGAGCCAAAAACTAACGTTTATTACAAGGTAGTCCAGGGATCTTAGAACTAAAATAGACCCCTAAGTTTAAATTCTTTTAACTTCAGAATTAATCCCGAAACCATCCCAGATTTGTATCTAGCCAATTGTTTTCTAAGCCCCATTTTCACAGTTGTGCTTCTGGGATTTACTCAGAGCCACAATGACTTTGGGAGCTTAGAAAAGGGCTAAGGGGAATAATGTGCCCAATAAACTTTGGAATGACTGGATGAACAAATCTTAGGGGATAAAACAATGACCATGAGGAACCAAGGGAACCAGACTCATAACAAAAAACCAGAAACAAAAATAAAAGGTCTGAGGTCTTTAAAACCAAGGATTTTCTCTTATTTATCTTTCTAGCCCCCATACCTTTAGTGTCATAGACTCTAAATAAATGTTTGATAGGTTCTTTCTTCTGGATGGTAAAAACTAAAAAGTCATTGGGACAAGTTAGAATAAAACTGCACATTACTAATGAGCCTCTTTCCAGGACTCTATTTATATAATTCCTATTTCAAGTTTTCTGTTTTCTTTTTTTTTTAAGATTTTATTTATTTATTTGACAGAGAGAGACAGCGAGAGAGGGAACACAAGCAGGGGGAGTGGGAGAGGGAGAAGTAGGCTTCCCGCCGAGCAGGGAGCCCGATACGGGGCTCGATCCCAG